GAAAGCCATTGACTATGCCCCCAAAAGTCAACAGAAGAAATGACAGATTATTATACAGTAGGGGTGGGCATACCAAAAGAATTCATGCGGCCCGCCAAATGTTAGTAAATTTGAACGAGAAAGTTACTAAGCAACGCCAAATAATTGTTACAAGCAATTTGACGCCTAATTTTAACAAACTGGTAAATGACTGCCGTCTCATTAAGTCATTGAGATCCTCCTGTTGCTGTGTTACTTTGTTTTTCAAATAAATCTGTTTTATGTGAAGTTGCTACTTTAAAATCTAAATTAATTTTTTTCTTTAAATTTAGTTACTTTATAAATGTGTCTAATTTAAAGTTTTTACTTCAAATAGTAATAATTTATTATTTCTTTACGCAAAGTTAATTTGTTTTTCAAATAAATATATTTAAACTTTGTCATATTAATTACTAAAAATAATTTTTTCTTAAAAAAGTTTTTTTTTGTCTTTCATATGTGTTTCATGTAAATCTTCAACTTAAAAATACTTATTAATATTTTTTCATTAAAGTACTTTAAACTGAGTTACTTTGTTTATCACATAAATGCGTTTCATTTTAATCTTCTGCAGTACTTTAAAATGTTAATTAATAAAAATTAATTCTATTTTTTTTTCTTTAAAGGCCGTTTTTTTGTCTATTTTAAATATTAATTATTTTGGGTTAATATACAGTGTGTTTCAAAAAGAATACGCCAAAATCATTACGCTGTTTTTTCAGGTCTATAGCATTGAAGTGGACTGAATCAGTGGTTATTTGATAGAGTAGTTATCAAAGTTTGATTGGGTCTCAGTTTCACCGCTGTCGTTAGTATAACTTCCGATGCAGCTGAATTGTGGGAAGATCAATCAAAATGGCGACTCCTCAGCAGAAGGCGTTTTGTGTACTTGAGTACAGAGCACCCACATGAAACTGTTGAGCATGAAAGAGATTCCGCTAAAGTGAACGTCTTCAGTGCTGTCTCAAGACAAGGTCTATGGGTCCCTTTTTCTTTGAAGGAAACACCGTTACAGGACAAACCTATCTCGGAATGCTCCAAAACTGGCTATTCACTTTACTGCAAGCAGATTCGAATGACTTCATTTTTCAGCAAGATGGAGCACCTCAGCGATGAATTGGGAGGAGAGGTGCTAAAGACCTTGCTCTCTGTGCTTGGCCTGCCAGATCCCCGGACCTCACTGTGTGTAACCATTTTCTTGTGGGGGTATGTTAAAGACCAAGTTTATGTTCCAGCACTTCCACCAAGTATCGATGACTTGAAAGATCGAATAACAGCTGCAATCAACACGGTGAACCGTGACATTCTGAGGCGAGTTTGGGAGGAATTCTCATATCGGCTTGATGTTGTCCGCGCTGCCGGTGGTGGCCACATTGAACACTTATAAAACATGAAATGAAACTTGAATGTATATACAACACATGTGTTCATACTAGAGGTTTGTAATTTTTTTCGTTTTTGACACATCACGTGATGATTTTGGCATATTCTTTTTGCAACACTCTGTACTATGCGGCCCAATAAAATTGTGAATTTTTGAATGTGGCCTTTGCACTGAAAAGTTTGCTCACCGCTGCTATATAGAGACCCCAAGGACGTTCTAACGGCCATACAAACAAAGATTCCGGTAACTACGATGATTCTCGGGGCCGTAAGTAATGTGTAAGATGCCATGTCATCTCAGCTCTTTCCTCGGGGCTTGGAGGTACCTATATATCTTGCTACGAAATGATTTTAAAAAAAATCCTGTATTCCATCTCACAGAATTCAACAACAACAATAAGATTTACTGACTTTACTTACATAGACTATCCTCCTTTATACATTAACTTGACTTTCATAGTTAGCTGGAAGAATATTTATGAGTATTCCGAAATTTAACGACATTTTTATTTCTATCCATAAATACCTGTCGCATAATAAAATCCTTACATTTGCCTTAATGAAGTCTACCAGGGGACGTAACGCGTCGGTAAAGAGACGTTTTTCTTTTGTCGTTATTTAGAGTGCTTTTATAGATATATTTTTTATTTATATCTGAATTTTCACACACACACACAAGCACGCGCGTCCGCACGCAAATATACTGCCTGTAACAGCAAAATTATCCAAATCACGTTACAGCATAGTTATTAATCCCACAAAATGTTTAATATCTAAAAAACCAAAAAAAAAAAAAAAAAAAAAAAAAAAACAAAAAAAAAAAAAAAATTAAACCAACCGAGTTTCTTTTCTCCAGGTTTTCAAATAAGACGTTTAGCCATCTTGTGGAAAAGTCGGGACCACGGAAGGAAAACACGGAACACAGATTAGAGGTAAGAAAGATATATTAAACAAAAAGGTTACAAAGATAGTGTAAGTGTAAGCGGAGCTTACTATGTGCTAGTGTCCAATATTGGTAGTCGTACGCGGCTGATACTACGGTATTAGGATACTCTCTCTCCTCCTCCTCTTCTTCTCCTCTCTCGAGGTTTATGTCACATATATAGTCCTGGAAGAGTCCATGTTGTAGGTATGTTACGGTCTCACAATAATACCATTTACCTTAAGAATCACTGAAAAAACTCTTTGAGTTATTCACTTAGAAAGAGAACAGGTTAAAATCGTTTTGTGTCAGACCCACTGAGCAATGGTGAGAGGAAAAAGATCATTCAGGCCTTCAGTAATGGTACCAACATGCATACACCTTCCATCTTCAAAGTCCACTTAAGAAACATCCAGAGAATGGTGAATAATTTTTAAAAAGATGGAACAGTAGAGAGGAAAACTGGATCAGGAGGTCACAACAGGAAGAGGGATCATTATTTCAACTTAGAGCTAAAGAGATCAATTAAAAAAGATCCAATTCAATCCATAAGACGTAAGAGAGGAGTTTCAGCTATAACAGTCCAAAGAGCAGTGAAAAAAGACTTGAAAATTAAATCGGACAATCTTACATTGAGCTCTCTGGATATCATCCTCCTCAGGTCTACCCATACGGATTACCTAAATTTGAATAAACTAAATATTAGCTCCTTATAAAATAAGTTGAGCTCTCGGTTGGATTACCTCCCATCGGATTACCATAAGGATCCAAACTTCCAGGCTGAAATGGATAAATTTACACCGGACTACTCACTCAAGAACATTCCTCACCCCACAATTGAATCCTTCACCATGTCTTTGACGGAAAAAATCATTGACGTCATAAAAAGAATGAGGTGGAAAATTCACTTCCATCTTAATCCCTATAACAAACCCACTAATTTTGCGTATACTTGATGAGGTCCGTAAAAAACCTGTGAATTTTCTTTTCATTTTTCATTTCAGCTTTTGGAAGTAAAGTCTGATGATCCAGAACCGTGTTAAAGGGGTTATGGTGAAATAGCTTATTACATGGAATCTTAACGTGGTCTGTCTTTTATTCAAACAAATATATATATATATATATTTGAACTTCATTTTAATCCTTCATAAGCCTTCGATCCTTAGCTATGATTAATTAATGCTGAACATGTTATTTTAGATTATTATCGATTTCATCACGATTCTTCTGTTAAGCTTGGAGAGGAATTATACATTTTTATTGCTCAAAGTCGAGTCCGATAGGGTTATAAAAACCTCAGAGAATTTCAGTGGGATAGGTTTAATCATTCCTATGATTCAGCGGTTCAAAGCTTAATCTGACAATCAAACAATTTTGCTGTTACACGATTTGAACAATTTTGCTAATACGCCCGGTATATATATATATATATATATATATATATATATATATATATATATATATATATATATAAGTGAACATAGAAGTCAACACTTAGAGGCAACAGTCTGTTTCATGCTAGATGTAATCGTCAGGCCACGTGTGCTGTTATTTTTCTCGGCTATTTATATATACGGGTCAATGGTGCATTGTGGGTAGTCTATTTTGGCGGTTATTTTACCGGAAGTCGTTTATTTGTTTATTTCTTTATTTGGGTTAAATTATTTTGCTTGTTTTTATTTAGATTGCATCTAGCATGAAACAGCCTGTCGCCTCTGAGTGTTGACATCTATGTTCACGTTTATATTTACGCACGTTCTATCTCTGATATAGAGCACTTTATCCCATAAATATAGCACATCTTAAGACTATATTTCCTCATATATATATATATATATGTGTGTGTGTGTGTGTGTCCTGAGTAAATGGCAACAAATGGCTACAATTGAAAGAAAAGATGAAAAAGAAAAAACAGGAAAAAGCTAAGGAGTGAGTATAAATTTATGAAAAAAAAAAACGAAGAAAAAGACAAATGGTCACGACACCTTAAACACACACACACACACACACACACACACATAGCGTGCGATGGATAAATTGTCGTCTAAGTGACGCAAAAATGAAAATAACACTAACATCTCATTTTAACAGATATATTTATGAAAATTACACAAGAATATCTTGAAATACAAAAGAGTAAATTTATTCAGTAAAATCTCTGCTGGCTTCAACCACGGCCTCCAGACAACTTCAGAATCTCCTGCAACTCTTCTGGACGATCTCCTTGTTTAAGTTAGTGAATGCTACCGTAATGCTTGTCTTCAGTTCATGTTTGGTGTTACAAGGAGTTGCGTTTGTCTCTCGTTCAACTGCACACCACACTTAATGATCAAGGGTGTTGCTGTCTGGGGAGTTAGGTGGCCAGATGTAAGGTGGGGTGATGTGGTCGCTGAAATTGTCTGACAGCCATAACTGGGTTCTCCTGATTGTGTAGCATGGTGTAGAGTCCTGTTGTTTTCCAGGAGCCACCCTCTTGAACTAGGTCAGCACTACCATCAAATTCAAGAGTTCTTTTCTGATCAGAACGACAAGGGTGAGTTTTCCGAGCTGCCCTCCCTTCGTAATGAACGTTAGACTCAACCAACTGTTTCCGAATCTTCTGCACTGTCCTCAGATTTACACCCAAACTTTCTGAAACGTTCATATTGGATCTTCCGACGCGAATGCAAAGCAGTACACAGCATGAAAAGAGAGAGAGAGAGAGAGAGAGAGAGAGAGAGAGAGAGAGAGAGAGAGAGAGAGAGAGAGAGAAGATCTAAATTGAGAATGAATCTTCCGTTTCGGCTGGATTAGGAAAAGCTTTTCAGAATATCAATTACTCAATACCAATCTTATATAAAAACAACCACTTTCATTCCATTTTCATTTTTTATTGGCTAATTCGCCCAATGAATACAAATGCCCTTCATAAGGCGTTTACAATTAATCCTCATTTATAATAATAAAGATGCCGTGGCCACAGTCGCACTTCAGTCATGTTTATCTATTTAGAACCATAAAGTCTACCTAATTGTAGACGTCCGTTCCTCAAAGGCAAATGTGTCAGACATGACAGAAAGGAAATATGTAGACAAGTTTCATTGATTTACATGTGAATTCCAAAAACATAAGAATTTATATCATCCCAATCCACAAGGTTTGAAGAAGAACGATCCTCCAAAAGACCTACAGGCTTCTTTCATTCAAACTACCATTCCAATATAAACGATATTCGGCTTCCTCCTAAAATCCAAGGGTTCCGTGTCTTTCACATCCACATTTGACAGAATTTTCGCAACTTACCAATCGCTAGATTTAGTATTATAGTAATTATGATGTGCATAAAAAGATGGAACGCGCCGAATGTGTTTGTCTATGAGTCTTAATGATTTTTTTTTTATTATTGATTCGATCACTATTGATTGGTCATTTTTTTCAATTTGTTATTTATCAAGTATTTCAAGCTGTGACGTTGACTCGGATAAAATTCCTTGCGAGACAACCAAGTAAACACACCGACATATGGTGCTTTTCTAAGCGTAGCTTAGATGTGGTACAAGGTCGAAAGTATGGGGCACCCAGTGAGGATCGAACTCACTATTCAAGAAGAAGAAGAAGAAGAAGAAGAAGAAGAAGAAGAAGAAAGTTTCTTAGAGTAAACCTGTCTTTTTCAGTATGATTTGACCTTAGTAATAAATTTTGGTAATATGCATTTTCGTGATCGGATTTATTTTGTGTGTAATGTAGTTGAACTTTGTAGTCGTCTGTGTGTGTGTGTATATATATATATATATATATATATATATATAATAATTACAAATTACATTCATGAATTAGATTTAAACTGATAAAGATGTTACTTTAACTGTCTTTTACAATATTAAAAGAGTACTATTGATTGGGTAAACTGTCGGGTTATAGTTTTTTTTAATGTGTTCTCTATGAATGTGTTAATAAATACAGTATTTAACTTATATTAAATCCCTAAATTATTTGTAAAAAAGTGAAATATTTAAATTGCTAGCAACCATATCCTAAATATGCAAAACCCATTTACAGCCTCTTTCTCTTTACTTCCCTCTCCATCTTCTTTCTTTTTCCTTTTTCCTTTCTCTCTACTCCCCTCCCATTTCAATATATCACTTCCGTTAAGTTAACCGTCTAAATAGGTCAAGGTCTGGTCACTCCTCCTCCCCCAATACTAAGAGATTGAGAGAAATATTAAATTAAACCCTCTCTAAACTCTGCCATGTCTCTTTAACTACTCCCTTTACACTCTCTGTTAAATTACAAAAACTTACACTACCCATCAATTTTCATTTCATTTTTCGTTTCATTTGTGGAAGTGCTATCTGATGATCTAGTGTCCTTTAAAAGGGCTCTGGTGAAATAAATTATTATAATGGTACCTTAAAGTGGTCTGTTTTCCTTTTAATATATATATATATTTATATATATATATATATATATATATATATATATATATTAGTTTTAACCAAAACTAATTATACAAATTAAGACAAGAATAACATCACGTTGAATAGCAATGTTTCAATAAATATGTTGTTTTATCTCAAAAGATTGAACGCCTACGTGACTCAAAGGCAACGCACAGCAGGTCACAAGACTCGCAAGGAAATTGAAGATATAATAAAAATAAACTGAAAGAGTTTCTACCGCAAGCAATGGCAGAATGAAAGGAAAAATTAATGTGCCTTTCTTATGTTAAATACTAGTTTAGCAAACTATTATTTTTAGAGGAAATGTATCTCAGCTCCGACTTCCGGAGGGTGACCCTTGGGGTCAGATGTAAGACACAACAAGGGAGTCGATTTTGATTGGCTGAGCTAGTGTGGGAATAATAGATCGAGAAAGGTTTTCCAGAGATTTGGTTCTTACACGTCAAGCAATATAGACGTGCTCACTTTTGTGTCTGAAAAAAAAATTCTCCATTTTGATGTCACTCATTTCTGCTTAAATCATCTAGCGATCACCGGCCGAGAGAGAAGATTGCTTTTTACTAGATATTCTCACGTATTTGCTATTTATTATTTTTTTTAACTCGTTTCATCTCAAAGAAGGCGACAATACCACTAGAACCCAAAAGGGTTACAGAGAGTGGAATTGAAAGAAAATGAGATGATCGAAATTAGTTGAGGAAAGTCAAATAAAAAAAGAGAAAGAAACAGGCTTCAGATCAGACAGAAGATGGGGATTGCTGTTGCATTTAAATGTTTGAAGATTGTAGTTATCAGGGAAGCAAGAAATCGGAAGGGATTTCCACAGGTTGGAAAAGAAACTGTTAGAGCAAAAGTAACTGTTGACATTTGCTAGTTCAACATTAAAACAGTGAAAACGTCGTTGCCAACTTGCGACACGGTTAAATTCCTGTAGTCGGGGTACCAGACAAAAACGTATCAGAAAAGTTGCCTTGAAAATATTTATAGAAAAGACAGAGGGAAGCCACGTAACTGGAGACGAAATACCTGGTCAGGATCGATTATATTGATGATCTTTCTTTGTTTTTTTTTTCAAGAATATCGAGATGTACAGCAGGGGCATCAGACCAGATATGGCAACAGTATTCAAAGCACAGATAAATGGTAGATTTTTCAATGTGCATGATGGATTCTGAGGAGAAATTATTCTTTTGGCACGACACAGTGAACCAACATTCCTTGCAATTGATACGATCTGGCTGTTCCACATCGTGTCAGTGGAAAGCATGGCCCCAAGATAAGCCATGATGGTGACAGACAGAATAGTTTCTCTGTAGTGCTTAAATAAAAACGGTTTTGTTTGCGAGGCATTTAAATCTACACGCCATTTCTTTCCTCAGTGTCGGAAATGTAACAGCCACATATGAGGGGATGGATATCAATAGCAATCCAGCTGTTTTTATTCTGATTCCGAGTAGAAGTTTAATTTCTGTTGCCATTTTTATAAGACTTTCTTGTTGCTTACTCGCTTCGTGCACAGAATCCTCAGTATCCTTCTGTAGAACAAAATTTTAGTACCTCCAGTTTTCCCCTCATCCGCGGAGAGACTTTTGATAATTCAATGCCATATAAGGCTCTTTTTTCCTGATACCAAGTAAAAGTTTTATTTCTTATATGAACACAAAAAGGGACATTTTACAAAACAATATACCGAATGCGTTGGTTGACTACTGTAACGAGACTGACCCCAATTTTGGCATAAAAAATGCCACAGTGATCAAAGAAGAAAATGATTCACTTCGACGAAAATATCTAGAGAGTGCATTGGTCATAAGATCATCTGTAGTAAATTTGCGGCCTGGCTCTTAAAACAATTCACTATTCCTGGCAGAAATTCTATTATCACAGCGTGCGACAGCTTCTAACAAAAGTGATGAAAAAAAAAAGAAAATTAATCTAAATCGCCTAGATTAAAACAAAAATACTAAAATTCCCAGCATCCCATGTTCGTGCGCATGCGTAGTCGCACCAACATATCAAATTAAAGTCCTATGAAGTCCTAAATATATTTCCCCAATATTGTTCCCGATATATAAGTGTTATCTTATATATATATATATATATATATATATATATATATATATATATATATATATATATATATTATGATTAAAACTTAGCTGATTGATATATATATATATATATATATATATATATATATATATATATATATATATAGGAAGAGGTTATAGTTGTTCCAACGAGAGATGTCTATATTTTAAAAAAAGAGAAAACGCAAACGTTTTTTTGGTTGAAATGCGGATATTTTTTTCTATATAGAAAATATGGAAAATAAAATATAAAATATGGAAAAAATTTTATGTATATTATGGAAAGTTTTTATGAATATTATGGAAAATAAAATATATATTTTTAAAAGAATATCCACATTACAACAAAAAACGGTTACTGTCTTCTTTTTAATATATATATATATATATATATATAACAGCTAATAACAAGAAAATTTCGTGGATTTCTAAGTTTTCAACATTCAAACAAAATTCTCAGTTGATCGATTTGAACCAGAACTCTAGCTTCGAGGCATCGCACGCTCCAAAACATATTCAGCTGTCAAAAAATAGCATAATTAAAAAAAAATCATCTTTTGTTCTATGCATATTTCGTCTCAGTATTTTTCTTATGTATGGGAAAATTGCCCCACTGAAGATGACAATTTGAAATTGTCGAAAGTACATATATAAGGATCTTATTATTCAAGGACTAGATAGTAAGTTAATATCCCATTAAGTCTTGTTAGCAAAGTGATTTCGCCATTAACACTAGGATGACCAGCTTCTTTGACATCTTTATTTACATTACGCCGTGAAGCAGCCATCTTTAATATATTCAATATTCAACTCAGGAATAACAAGTCTGAAAAGAAATTCACAAATATTAGTATACCTCATACTGAAAGAAAGTGATTATATATATATATATATATATATATATATATATATATATATATATATATATATATATAATTGTGTGTGTGTATATAGATAGATAGATAAATAGATAGATAGGGGACATAAACACAAGTATTATTGCTTGTGAGAAATTTTTCAATGCATTTACCCTATAAATAGCCTAGGTGTCAAAAACGACATCTCGGCCATTCAAGGTAAAACCTCAAATATCAGCTATTCCACTGAATATTTTTTAAAGAATTAAGTCTGTTAAGCATCTTTGCTAAAATTCAATAATTGTCCATAAGCCTCAGCATCGAACCAAAACTAGTTATTCCATAGGAATTTGTTGAAAATTTGAAGCTGTCGAAAACGACACCTCAGCCATCCTAGTGTTAATCACATTAACATTGCTATTTAATTCTTTAGTTAAATTATTTCTTTATGATATAAAATATAAGCTGCACCTTGTAATATATATATATATATATATATATATATATATATATATATATATTGCGCCTAATATAATTTTTTTCAAATTCAAGTTTGTCAACCTTCAGCTTTATTCACTCTGTTTAGAATAAAAACTAATTCACTGAAAAAAAAAAAGAAACCTGCTTTATTTGTTGCAAGATGTTTGTGGACGTAACACCCAACTGAGAAGCCAGTGTCTAAAACGGCATTATCATCTCAAGAATTCTTGATATTGAGACGATAAAATTTTAGCCAATCTATTCTACAGCCTTCTTCGGGTATACAATCTGCATAGAGAATAGATTCTTTTGTTTCAAGAAGAGATAGTTTCTTTAAGAAGTTTTTAACTTATTGTTTATACTGTCTTTGTGGCTGTAACATTTCAGCTAATCCATTATACAAGCTTCTTCAAGTATCCATAAGGAATGTACGGTAGCTTTTCTTTTTTTTTTCTCCAGAAAATTGTATCAAACAGTAAAAAAGAAAAGGAAAAGTTAGCAAATGTATAATGAAAGTAAACAGTTTTTATATTTAATTTTTGAAAACTTGTTAGTTGTCAATTCTTTCTTTGTAAATAAAATTGTTCGGATGAGAATTTTTAAACGTACTGCTGTCAAAAAGTTGATAAAAAATTGTTGGTTAAATGACAGTCACTATTTTGGAATTTGTTTGTCTATTATCTGATGCCTAATTCTCATTTGAATATATTTCCTCTGAATCAGATAAAATATATAATGAACGTGAAGACACCCCTAGTCTAGTGAAAGTGGTTTTATCTGTAACCTTGGAAACATGAATTATGATTTTAGCTGTGTCTTTAAAACCCAGTAATTTTAAAAGTTACTCCAAAATTCGCTTGAGGATGAAATGGAACTAATGTCTTTAATTTAATTACAAAATTAAATTCGTAGCTTTTAGCTTCCATTTTTGAAACATGGTTAGAACTGTGTAGTGGAAAAAAAACCATATTTTAAATCAATTAATTTATAATATTAATGCTCTGTAAATTTACATTGAGCACTATTTTGTAAAAATAAAAATATCTATAAGAACACCGGATTATATATCTTACTGTTCTTTTCTTTATATATATATATATATATATATATATATATATATATATATATATATATATATATATATATATATATATTCTTGCATAAATATTTCTTCCGGAAAACTCAACTGAAATGCTGGTTCTGCTCATTTCAATTTCTGTTTCACTCATTGTCATTTCTGCCATGTTGTTGTAATAAAATCTTTTACTTCCCCGAGGCCTGGCTTCTAACCATTCCATTCGCTTGGTTTGACTGGTCTTCAGAAAGCAGACTTGACAGTAACAGTTGTTGACTCCCTAGGGTATTTCCGTCACCCGCCGGGCGTTTGCTTCTTATTGAGATGGGTAGTGTGGGTTGGAGAACGGCGACGTTTCTATTCGCGCGGGGCAGTAATACCCTATAAAAAAATGTCAAAGCATTAAGTGATAAAAATTGTAGGAATATCTGGAAATAAACACTAAAGAAATAAAGAATCTAAGAACTAAAAGAATGTTTGTCCCCGTTTGCGATTAGAGAAAAAAACAAAAAACAAAAAAAAACAACAAAAAACAAACAAACAAAAGCAACAGGGATATGTTTGTTTTTTTACAATGATATTCACCCGGGAACCGCTGGAAGTAGACGGTTACTCAGAGAGAGACAAATTTTCTGCGGATGTTTGAGGAAGATAACAGTTAACCCTCGACTTGTGAACGTTAGATGGTTTGGTTTTGTCTGTTTTGTGCTACGGTATATCGACATCAATCGGTTATTTAATGCCAACAAAATTTTTATTGCTGGTAATATTTTTTTCTTAAAAATGTATTGCTGGTAACATTTTTCTCCAAAAATGAATTGCTGTTAATATATTTTTTTTCAAAAAATGTATTATTGGTAACATTTTTTTTCTAAAAATGTATTGCTGGTAATATTTCTTTTTCAAAAATGTATTGCTTGTAAAATTCTTTTTTCAAAAATGCTGGTAACATTGTTTTCTTAAAAAAAACAAACTATTTTTACTCTTTCATAGTGTTTTGACTCCAGTTTAGGGGTTAACTATTTGCCCATAGTTGGGATCCTAAAAAGTTACTACCACCCTGGGTCAAAGTGGACCTGGGAACACCAGCAGTTAAGAGGTGGTTCCACGTTCCTAAAAACCTCCTGATCAGAGACCTTGCAGTCGGATTTAGTTTATCGTCTTAAACCGGATGCGGATGCAGCTTATCGTCATACACAGGACCCGGATGCAGCTTATCGTCATACACAGGGCGGGTGAAGATTAGAACTGGTGGAACTAAGGAATGTATTTCGTCTGCGTACTTTCGATGGAAATAACGATATACCAGCGAGTGGTTTGCTATGTTTCGGTTGTCAGAAAAGGGTAGCAGAGTGGGTAATAATTCAACACCCACAAGGACACGGAGACAATTTTGGACTGTCCTGAGACTGGAAAGTGTAGACGGGGGGAGGTCCCTGCCCACATATGGCAACAATACTCCATTTTCGGCCTGATCTGGTTCTTGTAAAGGTTCTTTCGGTAGCTGATTCAAAATGTGGGATGCCAGCCTTACATCCGGGTGTTTTTGTCGAGACACTATCTCTAGAAAAGACTGACACTAAGCTAAAAAAACACAGGACTCGGGGTTGGACATTGGAGACCTGGGGATAGAAGTACAAGACCGAATAGTGTAGAAAGGGATTGTCAAATGGAGTTCCGACCATCTACAGGGCGGTTGTAGGATGATGATGATGATGATAATATATGAAACAATGAAGAGAGAGAGAGAGAGAGAGAGAGAGAGAGAGAGAGATAAAGCTATAAATGAGGGAGAGTTTGCCAGCCACTTCCACCAAGCAGAATGGGAAATTGTCCCATCCTTATTCCTATGGAATCCTTCCGGAAGTGTCTTCTCACGAAAATTGACTCTCCCAAATACCAGAACTCGGGACTCAAGATTGGACAATGGGTATCTGGGCACAGCAATACAATACCGAAACGGATTGTCAACGGAGTTGCGACCATCCACAGGGAAGTCGAAGGATGATGACGATGAAGATAAATCCAAATTAAGGCTTTAACATCCGCAAAGCTCTTGCAACAAAATTCACAAGATTTGGCGCTTGAACCTTCCATCCTCCTTAAAAGTCCATACCTTTCGAACATTGCTTGAACCAGTCCTACTGTACGGACCAGAAACTTGGACATTATCTGCTCGAAAGATAACTGGATGGACATTATACAAATCTACTTAGGAAAATCCAGAAAATCAGTTGGAGATCTCATGCAACGCTTAACACAATTTACGACCAAACTCTCTTAAGTTCAAACAAAAAAGATTATAGTTTGCCGGCCACTGCCACCGAGCAGAAAGGAAAACGCCGCATCCTTACTCCTATGGCACCCTTCTGGAAGTGTCTTCTCACGAAAATTGACTTTCCTAGACACCATAGCTCTGGACAGAAGAGTGGACATTGAGGATTGAGAGAGTGAGCAGAGATTGTGATGGAGTTGGAGGTAGAGTAATAGTGTGAGGTAACCGCTTATAGAAGTCAGTTACAAGCACGTAGACTCTAAGGAAGTCCTACTTCGGGACTGTATATATATATATATATATATATATATATATATATATATATATATATATATATATATATATTATTATTATTATTACGACTAACCGCATTCCTAGATTTACTAACAGTATTACCCATTGTATTATTGTGTAAATACATTTAAATTCTTGCGTTTGTCATTCATTGGAGACTGAATTTCATCTTGGAATCCACAACAATGACGATGACGAGGATGATGATGAAGAGATATGAAGCAATAAAAAGAGATAGAGAAAGAGAAAGAAAGAGACATAAAGCAATAAATGAGAGAGAGAGAGAGAGAGAGAGAGAGAGAGAGAGAGAGAGAGAGATGAGTTTGCCGTCCACTGCCACCGAGCGGACAGGAAAATCGTCTCATCCTTACTCCTATGACATCCTTCTGGAAGTGTATTCTCATGAAAATTGACTCTCCCAGATAACATAGCTCTGAACAGCGTGGAAAGAGATTCTCAATGGAGTTCCAACCAACAATAAGGAGGTCAAAGGATGATGACGAAAGGCAGAAGATAGTAGGAGATATTAGATACTTACTGGAGCGGTACAGGGAACAGATCATTTTTCCAACATCTCTAGCGATGGATCGTACGTAAAAGTTCTACTTAAGGTCCCAATGTTACAAATTCATGACGGTCGTCCTCGAATATAGAATCCAGAGGTTGGCAGTAAATATTTCGGAGACAGTAGGAAAGCGTAGTGCAGGTTCGCAGTGGATATCGCAGCAAAGTAGCAGAACGTAGTTTTTCCTTCTATCATGTTCGCCTGTCAAGTTGGCACTGATCTTTCCGGTAGGGTAAACAAAGATGGCCGCCTTTATACACGACGGATACAATGTTCTGCGGCTTCTGATTGGTCAACCTTTTATTGGTAGACTATAAAGGGAATTAAGTCATTTTGACTAACTCACTAGTTACATACACATATATACACAAAAAACTGTAGCACTCAATAGGCGCTCAAGACATGGGGTCTGCCTTTGGGAACACTAGTGAATCGGAATTTCTGGGTCAGAATGGTAATGGAAGTTGAGTTATGGAGAAAGACGACTTTATTCCTACGTGACAGTCTTATAACGTACCGTAGCCATTCAGAATGTTGGCGATTATTGGTCTCCACAATTTCCTGATTTTTGTAGCTCTTAATACATTTTATCTTTTTGCTATCTCCTTCAAAACTGCCATACACTACTCAAGATTTCTCTGCCTCTCTTGTGTTCAATCTGTTCTGTGTGTATCGTATTTTCCAAGCCCCCTTTCCTCATTATATGCTCAAGAAATTTCAAATATCTCCTGATGTTAAGTATCCTGTTTCTTACAATTTTCTATAAAACTGGGTCGTTTCTCACATGTTCGCTCCATGATATTCCCAGTATCCTTCTGTAGAATCACATTTTTGTAGTTTCAAATCTCTTCTTCATCTTTCAGGAGATTGTCCAGCATTCACTGCCATATAGGAGGACTGATATTACATAACAGTTCAGTGCTCTTTTCTTTGTTTCTCTTGCTTAAAGTCCCTTCTTCATCTGTGGGGAGATTGTCCAGCATTCACAGCCATAGAGGAGGACTGATATTACATAACAGTTCAGTACTCTTTTCTTTGTTTCTCTTGCTTCAAGTCTCTTCTTCATCTTTGAGGAGATTGTCCAGCATTCACTGCCATATAGGAGGACTGATATTACATAACAGTTCAGTACTCTTTTCTTTGTTTCTCTTGCTTAAAGTCCCTTCTTCATCTGTGGGGAGATTGTCCAGCATTCACAGCCATAGAGGAGGACTGATATTACATAACAGTTCAGTACTCTTTTCTTTGTTTCTCTTGCTTCAAGTCTCTTCTTCATCTGTGAGGAGATTGTCTAGCATTCACTGCCATATAGGAGGACTGATATTACATAACAGTTCAGTACTCTTTTCTTTGTTTCTCTTGCTTCAAGTCTCTTCTTCATTTGTGAGGAGATTGTCCAGCATTCACTGGCATATAGGAGGACTGATATTACATAACAGTTCAGTGGTCTTTTCTTTGTTTCTCTTGGTTCAAATCTATTCTTCATCTGTGTGGAGATTGTCTAGCATTAACTGCCAAGAAAGAAAGAAAGAAAGAAAGAAAAGGGCAGCTCAATGATCAGACGGAGGAAGAGTTGTCAAATTGAAAAGAAAGAAAGAAACAGAAAAACAAAGGAAAGACAATGACCAGATGAAAGAGAGGATGGAAAGAAAAAAGTCAAGAAATCGAATTGAAAAGAAAGAAAGAAAAAAGAAAGAAAGAAAGAAAAGCAAGAGAAATAGAGAGAGAGAGAGAGAGAGAGAGAGAGAGAGAGAGAGAGAAAGAAAAGAACAATGAGCAGATGAAGAAGAAATACTGAAATGAAAGAAGGTAACAAGTAAAATGGGAAAGAATGAAAGGTAAAAAAAATAAAAGAAAAAAAAAGAAAATGACCAGATGAAAGAAAAGAGGATGGAAAGAAAGAAAGCAGGGAGTCAATCTGAAAAGAAAGAAAGCAAGCAAGCAAGAAAGAAAGAAAGAAAGCGAGGAAGCAATAAATAAATAAATAAATAAAGAATGAAAGAAATCAAGAAATCAAGAAAGAAAGAAAGACAGAAAGAAAGAAAGAAATAAAGAAAGCAAAAAAGAAAGGACGAAATCAAGAAAGCAAGCAAACAAGAAAGAAAGAAAGAAAGAAAGAAATATAGAAAGCAAGAAAGAAAAAAGAAAGAAAGAAAGAAAAACAAGTTTTGGCAAAGTAAAATTAACAACACGTGACGAAAGTCAGTTGTGGAAAAATACAAAACTAACTTGTCAGAGGAAATAAAAATTATCAGGACGGAAGAAAAGTAGGAAGAAGGAAAAAGATGGAGGCTGCAGAAGAAGAAGAAGAAGAAGAAGAAGAAGAAGAAGAAGAAGAAGATACAAAACGGAAAGGCTAGCCTCTTGAGAGTGAACGGACACAAAAGAATTTAAAAGAAACACATGTTTAATCTTATAATCACCCAAAGTGCTTTAACCTCACACCCCAGTAAAGAGACATCAAGATGACTGTGACAATTCACCATCAAAGGTCAAATGTCGAAACCTCTAATGAAAGATAAACACCAATATTACTTACTTTAGTAATCACCGCGGTTCCCCTTCACAAATGCTCGTCTTCCATTTCTTAACAACTTCTCTGAATATGCTTCCATCGTTTATTCTTGACTCGTAAGAATTTCACCGTTTCCATATTTGAAATTTCTGATAAAGATTCTTAAGTTAATGATTGATTAAGCCCATCGCGAGTTCTACGACAATAAAATATCCGTAGAAATTCCCCTATCGCCTCGTTAAATATCTGAGCTTAACAAAATAACAAAATATTTCAATAAAGATCATAAATATGAATGCTGGTCGTTATTTTAAGAAGTAAAGGGATATAAATGAAACTTTTTGCAATTGAGAACTTTTTCATTTAACTGAAACAACCGTTGAAAACTTCTACCTTCCCTTTCTTTCTTTCTTTCTTTCATTTTCTTACTGAAACCAAGTAGCGTCTCTGATATCTGCTTTGTTTTTTCCACACAATCAAAACAAAACAGTTTATTATTTATGTGGTATTGGCAAGAGATGTTAAACACTTCTATCTTTCTTTCATTTTCTCGCTGCAAGCAAGTAGTGTCTTTTGCCCGCCTTTCCACGAGATCAAAACCGATTAGTCCATCATTTATGCGGTATTGGCACGGCGTAACGGTCGTACGCAGTAGAGCAGGGAGGGACAAGCAGAATGGGATATCCAAATGAACTTTGTTGGTTTAGACCTTTGTTAATGAAGCATCGTAGTTCGTGTAGAGGCAGTGAGCACGAAAATCATTGGAAAATAGAAATTCCGAGTCGAAGACAGAGGTTAGAGTGTAAATATTTGTAGGATTTTATTTCAGTTTTTGTCTCTCTATATTTTTTATTTTTAGTGAATAAGAGTTAAAAATACGACTTGTTTATACAGTAAGTATTTTAATTTTAACTTTCTTCAAACAGACAATTTCATTAATTAAAATATTTTAAGTTAAAGACAGACACAAAGAAATCCCGCTTTTTTGTTTATTCCAGTTGTTTGTAGAGTAATTATTTATATTTCTACTTTCCTTAAACAAACATTATTTTAAATATTTAAAAAAATATTTTTAAGTTAATCTGATTTAAAAAAAATATAGTTGAAGTGAATAAGATTTAAAAATACTATTTGTTTATACAGTGAGTATTTTAATTTAAATTTCTTCAAACAGACAATTTCATTAATTAAAATATTTTTAAGTTAAAAACAGACACAAAGAAATCCCGCTTTGCTGTTTATTCCAGTTGTTTGAAGAGTAATTCTTTATATTTCAGCTTTCCTCAAACAAAATATTTTTGGCATATTTAAAAATATTTCCAAGTGAATATGATTTTAAAATATATTTTTGACATAAGTTAATCTCATTTAAAGTGCAATTTTATCCCTGAATTTCAGTTCTTATTAAATGCTGTAAACAATCAGATGACACGAACATTTAACTGAATCCTAATAAAATTAACTTCAATTTCAATGGAATGTTGAAATCAACTTCAGTGTTTTATAACCTGCACAGTCAGTGACCCAACGGGCCACGGGTAGTCTAGTTATCTTTAAAAATTTGGTTGGAATATTTAAAAATATTTTCAAGTAAATCTGATTTAAAAATCATTTTAAGTGAATAAGATTCAAAAATACGAGTTTTCTATACAGTATTTTTATTTTAACTTCCTTCAAACAGATTAAAAAAAAAATTAAAGCATTCTTTTGCGCAGACAGAAAAAATATTAATTCCAGTGTCAGAAAACAAAAGGAAAAGGAAAAATAAAGAAAAGTAAGAATAATTTATGCAAATTTTTTCCAAATAAAACCAGTTTTTCATTAGCTTTCCAACTTTTTAAACAGAAAAATATTTCAGACCAATCAGTGAAAACTTCATGGAGATTCAGAAAAAAAAAAGAAAGAATTTTTAAGTGGAGTGATTGGACGGCTATTAGTGAAAAATGGCTTGAGACTTTCTTTGTGAATGTTATGGTCTGGTTCCTTGTACTACGGTGATAGTCCAAGGTAGAACCAATAAAGAAGAACTCGAATACGGATATGGAATAACACAGATATATTACAATCAGGAATATATACAGAGAAGTAGAAAGTGTTAGTATGAACAATCCGGTTTAGTAGAGAGAACAATGTAGTCTCGACCAGTATCACTATTCCAATGTCTTGCAGTAATTGTCTTTTTTTTTTTTTTTTTTAAGCATTGTGCCCCAAGCAAGGCGTGAAGCCACTAGGATGCTGGGGGTTTGGAGCGAGAGCAGATAAGAGTGATAGGAGAAAGGAAGAGGAGAAGGATAGTGGGTAGATCAAGGTAGCTGGAGATGTCGATTGACATTACATTTGAATAGTTGGAGATTATAGCTTTCAGGGAAACAGTAATTGGGAGGGTGTTCCACTGGCGAAAGGTGCGAGGTATGAAGCTATTGGAGTAGAAGAGACGGCTACATTTGAAGGTTTCTACGGTGTAAGGGTGAGAGCGGGATGCCAGCCTCGTAGGGCGCTTGAATTCATGGAGTCTGGGAACCAGAGAGAGCAGCTCATCAGAGCAGTTACCATGGAAGTATTTGTAGAAAAGACAGAGAGAGGCGACGGCGCGTCTGTGAGAGAGTGACTGCAAGCAAGACGCTAGATCAGGGCCAATTAGATTACATATCCTTCTCTGGATCTTGTCAAGAACTCCGAGGTAAGCAGAAGGTGCTCCAGCCCATATATGGCAGCAATACTCCATGCAAGGGTCTGAACGCGACTCTGTTTCGGACTGCCTCTGACTCGACTTGAACTACTGACGATATTCAGCCCCCCCCCACGAGAGCGTCATGTGGCACAAGGCCTTTTTAACGTGGGCTCGGACAAAAATATGCCCATTGAACCCATATAAACGGGTTCAGGGTCGGTTTAATGATAATACGAACGAATTGAAATATTTAATTGAATCGTAATAAAATTAAATTCCATTTCAATGGAACGTTGAAATCAACTTCAATGTTTTGTAACCTGAACACTCAGTGACCCACGAGTAGTCTAGTATTTTATATTTATAGTTGTCAGGGCCGGTACCAATGCTTTCAGTCTAAGATACGGGACATCTCTCTCGATTACATCTCAATTTTCATAAGGTATTATTCATATAAATTACAAATTTTATTGTGACTTAATTATGTACAATAATGGATCATCTGCAGTCTAGGTGAACAACCCAACTAGGAGAATTGAAAATAAATACAATGTATCTAAATACAAATTAGAGACCTGTCAAAATAGATCATACCATCTAAAATAAATCAATGTTTTGCGATAATTTTTAATATCGATGTTCAAGATTATGGATTAAAAAGTGTGAATTTTATATCGTGTTTTTCATATCTATCTATCCATCTATCTATCTATCTTGATTTATTCACATCCCCCCTCTCTATCTATCTGAGTCTGTTCTTATCTATCTATCTATCTATCTATCTATCTATCTATCTTGATTTATTCACATCCCCCTCTCTCTGAGTTCATTATCTATCTATCTATCTATCTATCTATCTATCTATCTATCTATCTATCTATCTATCTATCTATCTATCTTGATGTATTCACATCCCCCTCTCTGAGTTCTGATCTATCTATCTATCTATCTATCTATCTATCTATCTATCTTGATTTATTCACATCCCCCTCTCTCTGAGTTCATTATCTATCTATCTATCTATCTATCTATCTATCTATCTATCTATCTATCTATCTATCTATCTATCTTGATGTATTCACATCCCCCTCTCTCTGAGTTCATTATCTATCTATCTATCTATCTATCTATCTATCTATCTATCTATCTATCTATCTATCTATCTTGATTTATTCACACCCCACTCTCTCTGAGTTCATTATCTATCTATCTATCTATCTATCTATCTATCTATCTATCTATCTATCTATCTATCTATCTTGATTTATTCACACACCCCTCTCTCTGAGTTCATTATCTATCTATCTATCTATCTATCTATCTATCTATCTATCTTGATTTATTCACATCCCCCTCTCTCTGAGTTCATTATCTATCTATCTATCTATCTATCTATCTATCTATCTATCTATCTATCTATCTATCTATCTATCATAGTCTCTTCTTATTCTGACCTATATCTTCCTACGTTACTCACTCCGGCCTTTTCCATTTTTACGGTCCTTATCTTAACCACCCCTGCCGTCTTCTTTCAAAACTCGTCTTACCAGCTCCATTCCCCGGGTGCAAGTAGGCCTTTCATTTCCCTTTTGTCCTGTCATGCTCAATTAAGATTAATTTCACCCATTCATCCATTTGAGACATATCGGCCACATCAAATTCCAATCCTCTCTTGGACCACTTGAAAAACTTCAATATTAGACATTCCAGTCTTTGAAGAGACCCACACGTCGTATTCTGGGAATGCACAGATATTAAACTTACACTAACCGGTATGCCAGTATGCTACCTGGCAAGATAGATATCAAAAGCCTGAGTTATATAGATTGATAGAAAGAAACATAGATAGCTAGATAGATGGACACACTGTGATAGATAGATAGATAGATGAATAGATAGATAGATAGATAGATGGAAATGAAAAGTAAGAGATAGATAGATAGATAAATGCAATTACACTTTGATACCTGGCAAGATAGATATTAAAAGCCTGAGTTATATCGATTGATAGATAGGAACATAGAAAGATAGCTAGATAGATGGACACACTGTGATAGATAGATAGATAGATAGATTGATAGATAGATAGATATGAACCGATTTCCTGCTTGAGTTATTAAAGGATTAACTCTGACGCATCCTATATGCACAAACATTATCATTTGCTTTCTCGATTATCTATGTTAGAATATATCATGAATGTTTTGCATGGGGGACTCATGGCTTCCTGATTAAAACAGATTGTTCAACTAATCGATCTACACCCTGCTCATGC